ACGTGGAAATGTATAGTGGATGAAATACTCTAAACGCGTGATGTTGATTCTACAAGTAGAGTGGAAGACCGGAGGGACTGGAGATAACGGGGAGGGAGAGAGAGACATGGAAACTCCAAATATACAGCAGCAGGCGTCAGGGTCGGGATCGAACCCACGACCTCCTGCATACCAGGCGAGTTGCTTGGACCATCGTATATGGCAGGGGGTGGGGAACCTTTATTCTGCCAAGGGCTATTTGGATATCTACAACATCATTCGCGGGCCATACAAAATTATCAACTTAAAAATGTAGCCCGTTATATTTGGTCAAACATTTAATCAACTCACCCCTAATGTGATGGGCTGGAACTGCTTCTCTTTGGCGAGGCGTGTGATGTTAGCTGGTATTGATGATGTTGCTGCTACTCGCAACTGCTTTGCCAGGTTTTCTCCTAGATTTATTGAATTTCGAGTCCCGCCTGTGGTTGCCTTGGCAGGGCCAGAGACCAAATGATTTCGCGGGCCTCGTACGGCCCGCGGGCCGGACGTTCCCCACCCCTGGTATATGGAAATGTATAAGTCGCGGCAGCAATATCGTCTAACCGCTTGTTTCTATCTTCTTGGTTCTTTCGGTAAAGTCACGTCGAATGGAAATAATAAAATAATAAAAATAAAGCATAATTAAATAATTCTCACGACGTTTCGGCCACAACGCAAGCAGCCATCCTCAGGTGAAGAACAGGTCTGTCGAGAAGACAGAGTCTGAATGACACGTCCTGGGCTTGGAGCGTCTATTTAAGCTGGGAGGGAGGAGGAAGAGCGCCTTGACAAAATAAGTTGCATACCAAGAGGAATTTTAGCATATTTATGTAATATTACACGATGTATTATTCTACCCACCCTACTGCACACCACAGTGCTGCATATTAAACCATACAACTACGAATTTTAGCATATTTATGGGAAATGCAGATATGCGACTAGTACTACTTGTCATTACTATACACCACATTGTAATATTACACTATGTATTATTCTACCCACCCTTGTTTCTAAATGTGGAGGGCGAAACCAGAGGAAGCCGGAGAACAATCCACGCGACCACGGGGAGAGGGAACACGCGGACTACAAATACACAATAGACATCGCCAGGGTCCGGGATTGAACCCGGGTCCTCCTTCCTTGTGCTATAGGCGAGGGAGATAATATGAAAGATAACGCAATGATTTGTATTGATGATGATGCACCAGCCCTCTCTGTGTCTTTTCCCGAAGCTGCTATAATAAACTAACTCGATTTAAGAAACGCATTAAACTCTTTATATAAACTCTACTTCTTCCGGTAAAGTCACGTAGGTAGAAAAATAAAAGATCACGACGTTTCGATCGCAACACAAGCCATCGTCATCAGGTGGGACAACCACAGCAAGAAAAGACTGCTTAACTTTGACAGCGCTGTTTGTTTGCTGGCCGTTTGATGTGTTGTGCCTCCCGTTGGAGTCTGTGCAGAAGCAATTGTTTATCAAGGACGTATTAATTCTAGATTTGAAGCTTTCGTGACTGCAAGTATTCATATCCTTAGGTCTTTTCGGTAAAGTCACGTAGGTAAAAAATCTAAATTAATAAAAATAAAATAAAAATCACGACGTTTCGGAGGCAACACAAGCTTCCGTCTTCAGGTGGAACCGTCACAGCACGCTTGCTGTAATCAAGTATATATACGGGGTAGTATCCCTTGGAATCTCTCATTTACTGTGACGGTTCCACCTGAAGACGGAAGCTTGTGTTGCCTCCGAAACGTCGTGATTTTCATTTTATTTTATTTTCCTTTTTATTAATTTAGATTTTTTTTACTTACGTGACTTTACCGAAAAATCCTAAGAATAAGGACGTATTAGTCTCACAATCCCCGCCTTTATCACCAGAGAGCGCTCGTGGACAAATGATTCATCTTGATTTGAAGCTTTCGTGACTGCAGGGATTCATATTCTTGTTTTTTTCGGTAAACTCGCGTGGAAGGGAAACAATAAAATTATAAAAATAGAAAACAATAAAATTCTCACGACGTTTCGACTGCAACGCAAGCAATCATCATCAGGTGTGAAAAACACAGCAAGAAAAGTTTGTTTTATATTTGTATTATTTTATTATTTCCCTTCTATGTGACTTTACCGAAAGAACCAAGAATATTCGTCTTTATTTATTTACATTCTCTACATCGACGCGTATGATTATTTTGAATCATGATTTGAAGCTTTCATGACTGCAGGGATTCATATTCTTGGTTCTTTCGGTAAACTCGCGTGGAAGGGAAACAATACAATTATAAAAATAGAAAACAATAAAATTCTCACGACGTTTCGACTGCAACACAAACAATCCACAGCAGAGTTTTGTTTAAAAAGTGGCGTTTTTTTCTTAACGTCAGCACCACGGACAGCGATTTGGCAGTTGGTCAGATGTACAAGGCCATCTACGTTAAGAAAAAACCGACACTCTTTTCAAATGTTCTTGCTGTGGATTTCACACCTGATGATGATTGCTTGTGTTGCAGTCGAAACGTCGTGAGAATTTTATTGTTTTCTATTTTTATTATTTTATTGTTTCCCTTCTACGTGACTGTAGATGAATTTAGCGCCTTATTCCAAGGCGATTTACAGCAATTATAAAAATTGCACATCACGTGACAGCGGTTGGGATAAAGTGTGCCGGTTGTTCAAAGTGCCCGTATGATTTAGGGGCCGTCCATAAATGACGTCACGCGATTTTGGACGATTTTGGACCTCCCCCCCTCTCGTCACACGGCGTCACAAAAAGTCAGACCCCCCCCCCCCCTCAAATATGACGTCACAAAGCTCTGCCCCCCCCCAACCTTATTTCCATTTTGAAAAAAAACATGCTTCAAATGGCTTTAAACTATTGTCATTGTAGTGCGTATTTAATGTGGCGCTGCACTCTGATGTTGTAGGAGTGTTGTTATAATAATTAGTGTTCTTAGAACAATTCTATATTTGATAATTGGTTTTTTACCCATTTATCTGGCAACTAAATTGACACCTTTTTTACAAGGAGTCATGTTTGCATAGACCACAATACCTGCAGTCATAATGCAAACAAAAAACAAAACTCTAATATTCTTTGGTTCTTTCGGTTAAGTCACGTCTAAAGATAAAATAATAAATTAAATAATAGCATATTACGACGTTTCGATTGCAACACAAGCAATCATCATCAGGCATAAAAGAAATAGCAACAAAAATCTAACCTTAAAAATATATGTGCCGATATGTGTCCTCTCTCTGTGTGTCCTTGTATTGCAATCGAAACGTCGTAATATGCTATTATTTAATTTATTATTTTATCTTTAGACGTGACTTAACCAAAAGAACAAAATAATAATTCCTGCAGTCACGAAAGCTCAAAAATTAAGATTAAAACTCTGATAATGTATGCACTGTTCTTGAAGTTGTAAAAAAAGGTGTCAATTTTGTTGCCAGATAAATGGGTAAAAAAACAATTATCATATTTTTTACTAGGCAAATGAGGTTCCAGTGGTGTAAATTTTATATTTATTTAAAGTTGCGCATTTTGATGTGACGTCACATTTCTCAACCCCCCCCCCCCTCATCACAAAAATCTGACCCCCCCCCCCCCCACCTAGGTGCGTGACGTCATTTATGGACGGCCCCTTAGCAGGAATTCACGTAGATCCACGTGGACTTTACCGAAAGACCCGGAGAAAATTATTTTCAACTTATTTTGGGTGGCATTGCAGCCGCGTCCTCCCCGTGCACACTCAAGACGTTCTCCTGCACGGTGTCCATGCCGCAGCCTGTCGCACGCAGCTGGGGCCATATCCACGCGCCGTCGCGTGGCCGGTTCCATTCACAATGGTGACAACAACAACAACAACAACCGCCATTCGCCACTAAGTGGCAGTGACGTCAACACGACGCTTGTGCCAGGCCATGTGCACCTTGAGGCCACGTCAAGTGTCGAACGCCCGCTGGCAGGAGGTCACGGGGCAGACCCAGCAGGTGCCACGGGTCGACTGACCGAGATGACCGAGATGACTGGCTGATGCACCACCTGTGCCCCCTACTGTACCAACTTGCTGTGCTTTAGCCACCCGGCGCTCCGCTCGTTGTTGTGAGCGTCGCTCCTCCGCCCTCCGTTGTTGTTGGAGGGTGACTGCCTCCAACTGCCCGGTAGCGTCCTTCACGAGCCTCCTCCACAGTGGTGACACACACACGTCCACCCAGCAGTGTGACAACGCACAGTGGGTGAAATGTGGGTAACAATAGCACTGGTCAACACACTTTTTTCTGGCATAAGGTATTCCAACGGTTCTAAAGTAATTTTGGGGTGCTGATTCCAAATCTGGCATCGGTTTTTGTCTATCACATCAGGTTTTTGAGATATCAAATATTGTATTTTTAATAAAAACTGCAGAAGAAAAATATAAATAAATGTGGATATCTACATAAAACTATATTATAAACACACTATCCTAAAAATACAGCACCATATTTTAACACTAAAGTAGTGACTCGCAACAACGTGCAATCATAAGTGACAGAGTTAATTTCGGGTAAAATCAATGACAATGGGGTATGCCGATAGCATAAAAATGAGATGTGATAGAGCAAATCTGAGATCAGATTTGGAATCAGCACCCTGAAATTAGTCTAAAACAGCTGCAAAAATTCCAGGCCAGATTTTTTTAAATTTTTTTGTTGACCAGTGTAATCCAAGACGCCTGTTCGCACGTGCATCACTGTCAAGGCAGTGAACGAAATTGCCTCTGGCGCTCCCCCTGGTGGAGGTCCCCCTTCAACCAACGAGTGGGGAATTGCAGGGCCTGCGCCTTTGCCTTTTTTTCGTTCGCTTCGCGACTCGTTATTAATTGGGATTTCGCCGCGCTTGTGCGTTGTACGTATTGTAACGCGCGCTGCTTTGAATATCGTACTACGTTTAAGCACCCCCCCATCCCCCGCGCGCATGCGCAGTGCGCGACCCGGTCCGCGGGGGTCTCAGAACCTCGCCGGGGTGGTTTGTGAGAGGGAACCAACAAAAAATTTTAAGCTCTAAACAAATCAACAAACGACCAAGACGCGCAAGCCTCGACGGCAACCAGCAAAAGCATCAACAGCTGAAGCAATCATTGTCCTCCCCCACCCCACCACCAACTCCTCGGGATCCGTTGATCTTCCCGCATGGAGGCGACGCCGAGACACCGAGGCCGAGACGGGGTAGGCCCTACGGTCGGCCCTGGGGCAGCTACCGAGGACGGCGCGCCCAACGCCGCGGAGCCGCTATCCGAGAGCCGGTGTCCCGACCTCCACCCGTTCGAGCACGTCATCCAATACAGCCGCGCGGACAAGATACGCGTAAGCTCATAGTGGATTGTACATTTTTTGTTTTATTTTTTTTGTTTTGTGATTTGTTCACGCGTGGCGTTTTCGTTCGCCCGGGTAGACATCCGTTCACTCTACGTGTTGGTGTTGGTGGTGTGTAGTTTGGTGGTTTTGTCTATTTTTTATTTTACAAAATTGGGATTTTTATTTTACAAAATTGGAATTTTTTTTGCTGTTGAAATGTCCTTACGGTTTTATGTGATATTTATTTGCGATGTTATTCAGATTTATTTTTAAAAAATGCATCACATTGTGCGATTTGCATGAGCAGTAACATAATTTAGATGATGTACACTATTATTTTGTTGAATAATATCACAAGGCGAACAATCTGTATATATGATTCTGTTCATCGTTTGTAATTTGTGTTTACCCGTAGAAATTAAATGTAGTTTGATTTAGTTTCACTTACCCTACCTGTTGATAATTTGTGTTTTGTCTTTTGAAGCTTTATCTATTTTGTATAAAATTTAAAATATATATTTTTTTATCGAAATGGATACAGTTGTGCTGTCAGAGATTTAGGTATTTGCAATTTAACGTAATTAATATTTTATGCAGTTGGTAAAAAAATTGTGTTTGTAATTAAATATTAAACACAATTTGTGTTATATAATTCAGTACAATTTAGGGTTCGTAATATAATCCTGATAGCGCAGTTCTAGTTTACAGTTTAATACAATTTATATCTAGCGTACAATAAATCATACAGTCCGTTTAAAATACAATTTCGATTTACGCCACAGTTTAAGTCATCATATATGCCAAATAAAATGTTTAATTATAACGCGACACTCGTTATAGTTGTGTATATGATCGCCTTCAGATCTCAGAAGCTAAGCGTGTTTGAGCCTGGATATTGCATGGATGGGCTTGCGTTTGTGTTCAGTACAGATTAGTTGCAGGCGAAATGAATTCCGGGATTAAATAATAACTTGGGAGGCTTTCATCGCTTTCCTCGCCGCGTCGACCAGCGTGGTGAAGTATGGTCAAACTGCACTCATGATCAGCACGGTTTAAGCGGAGGGCCTTCACCCAGCCTTTGATAGACACCTGGTCAAACTTCATAGATACCTGGTTATATCTTCTTGGTTCTTTCGGTAAAGTCACGTAGAAGGGAAATAATAAAATAATAAAAATTAAAATAAATACAACTTTCAGACGCTGTCTTTCCCAACGACCTGTTCTTCACCTGAGGACGGCTGCTTGCGTTGTGGCCGAAACGTCGTGAGAATTATTTTGTTTTATTTTTATTATTTTATTATTTCCATTCTACGTGACTTTACCGAAAGAATCAAGAAGATAAATCTCTGCAGTCACGAAAGCTTTAAATCGATACCTGGTATACTTAATAGACACCTGGCCATCCTTCACCCCGCCACCTGTCAGTCAGGTTTTGGCGAAGGTGGCAAGCATAGATGTGGGAGCGTAGAAGTGCAGTTCAACAATGGATATTTTCCACACTGCCCTGGATAGCACCTGTTGTACGCACACTGGTAGCCCATTCGAGCACTGTCCAGGCTCAACCCTTGCTTAGCTTCTCGAGATCTGACAGCGTCGGGTGCATTTGGGGTCTTTTTGGATGATGTTGATGATGGTGAGCAACAGCTGTTGTTTTACATGAAGTTGGTGGAGCCAGATCATTCCATGGGGAGTAGCAGAGCATCGCTGTTATACTGGTAGGAACCTCCTGGTTGCACCAGCCCACGGGATTATTGTGTCCGTCCGTCGTGCATGGAGGGGCTGGGTGGGGATGGAGGGGCTGGGTGGGGAGGGGCTGCATGGGGAGGGTGGGGCTGGGTGGGGTGGGGAGGGTGGGGAGGGGCTGGGTGAGGCTGGGTGGGGGGTGGGAGGGGTGGGCCCGGGTGGGGTGGGCTAGTCACCCCGTGGTGCCCTTATAAAACTCAACGTTTAACCTACTCACGCCGGCTTGTGCCCGCCCTCACAGTCGGGCATATTTGTGGAATACACCACGCTGCCGTTGACTCTGGCCATTGACCGAGCAACCCAACGTTCCTACCAGCTCCCTTGCAGGAATGTGTTGACAATGATGATGGGGATGTCTCCTTCGTGTGTGTGTGAACTGGGTACTGAGACGTTAGACGTCCCGTGGTCTGTTCTGGGTGACATTGATCAGTTTTTTTAGTTTTCCATTTCGCAGTGATTTGAACAAAGAGGTTTACAAAAGACGTACGTGTGTTGAACTTCTTTCAAACCGTACGTAGCCAACCGTGCTTAATCGGAGGTGCAATGTACACGTCAAATATACGGCGCAGATGTGTGCAGTTATGAGTGTTGAATTTTTACATTACTCGCTCCAGAAGTCCAATAATTCGTTGTTCATATTGGCACTTGCAGTGTGCACGTGACATATGGCTCCCAGAAACGTGGGTCCTTAACGAAAAATACGGAACAAAATATTTAAAAGCGCTAAAACAAAAAAAAGCTTGGTGGAGAGGCCGCATCGTTTGGCCATTAAATTTCGAGGCAGCAAGAGGAACTCGCGGGATCAGAGAACTTTCACAGGTTCACGAACGACATCACACAAACGCTAACAAGCAAAGTGAGTAGCGGCTGTGGGCAGGGCGCGTCACGCCGAGACGGGATGATGGACAAGGGGCAGAGAACGGTTACGGAGCGGCAGTCAAGGAGCGCAACGCGGTCCGAGAAGTACGTCCACTGGCGGAGGAGATCATTTCACGTGATGGATTTGCTGCCATCGCAGGGTCGGTGGGAGGTGGCGACAGCTTTGGGGGGGGGAGGCCTTTATCCAGCAGTGGATTGGCCATGGCTGATGATGATGGTGATGATGAATGTGTAGGAAGGCATCTGCAGAGAGTGAAATGGAACCTTATCTCTACGGCTGTCTAGGAGGTTGTAAACTTAAACGCTTTTATCTGCACCGGGTTGTGTTGCAGTGTGAATGATTAACTCGAGTTAGGCAATTAAGGCTCAAGTGGAAGCCAAGCGTTATCTTAATGCAGTTTTAATATAGTAACTCCAACTGCTCCTGCCGCAGTGTAATTCGAATCCGTTAATGATGATGAAAGCCATCGCAACAGACAAATTAACGAGGTGTACATTGTGTTGATGCCATCAAGAGTTGCCCGATATCCTTGAAGGATGATTCGTGTTACTAAACCGTTTGGCAGCGCGCTCGCTCTTTGGCTGTGTGCAAGTGAATATCTTTTTTGATCTGGTGTAATCCGATTGCTTAAGTAATCGATTACTCAACCGATTATCGTTCCATTACTGGCCAAATCGGATAACATGAAATATAGTTTGGGGGTTGGCGGGGTGGAAGTCTCACTACCGTTCCTCGTGTGCCGCTGGACGGGAGGTGACGGGCATGGCTTGGTAATGTCATCGACATCTTTAGCTGTGCCATACCATACGTGGCTTTTAAGGGGTTTCCTGCCTTCGATAGTCAGGAATGTTGGCAGACATTTTTAAAGGGGCCCTCGTGACCGACCACTGAATAAGTGGTCGATTGCAATATTCACTTGATTAATCAAGTTAATGGTTTCATCGTCCCATCTATAATGTTTTTTTCAATATTAGTCATTTATCCAATGCAACCCCATGTCTGGCCAATTCCATTCTAAGGAGCGTTTGTGTCTGTGTGTGCGCGTGTGAGGAAACTGGAGTATCCAGAAAAACCGACCACAAATATGAGAGGGCATTAACACTCCAACGATTGCACAGATGAGTTAAGGAGCCCATGTTCTGTAATGCAATGCCCTGGCCGCCTCCTCGCTCCTATCGCATTGAGTCCGGGGTCGACGTCGCCCTCTATTGGTGATCGTTGCTTTTGTTAGCGTGGAACCCAAGCTAGGATGGAATGCGCATTATACAATGATTGTTATCATTGTACTCGTGTGTCATTATACAACTGTATATTATCTTCTTGGTTCTTTCGGTAAAGTCACGTAGAAGGGAAGTAATAAAATAATAAAAATTAAACATAATAAAACAATTCTCACGACGTTTCGGCCACAACGCAAGCAGCCGTCCTCAGGTGAAAACCAGGTCCGTCGAGGCGACAGAGTTTTTTTTTTTTTTCAGACTCTGTCGCCTCGACGGACCTGGTTTTCACCTGAGGACGGCTGCTTGCGTTGTGGCCGAAACGTCGTGAGAATTGTTTTATTATGTTTTATTTTTATTATTTTATTACTTCCCTTCTACGTGACTTTACCGAAAGAACCAAGAAGATGAATCCCTGCAGTCACGAAAGCTTTAAATCGGAACTGTATATTAATTATACTGGTAGGAACCTACGGCTCAGTGGGCTTTGCCTGGTAAATAAAATAGTTTAGTTCGAGTTTAGTCTAGACCACCACGGCCAACGCCCCTTCTAGCCAAAACAGGTTCTGCCCAAGCCCACTTACTTTTCTTTACAGTCAATATTGTGTCTTCGACCGGCATCTCTAGTTCTCTGATTCGTGGAATGCTCTCTCACCGTGCAATTGCAAGCACGCACTTTTATTTTGTAAAACGCCAATTTATTTTCGACGTACATTTCTTTACAAAACTACCTTTGTTCGGTCGTCCTTGTGCGTCTACAAGTTCCCAAAGTCATCTACAGAATGACAAACACGTGTTTCGCAATAAATCAACATCACCAACTTGAACATCAAAAGTAATTTGTGAGTTTTGCGCCGGCTTGCGGAGCCACCGGGCCTCACCAGGTGTTTTCTCTTGAGACCTATGAACGATGCCACCGTGAATTCTTGCCAAGCACACGAGCAGTACCGTTGTTGGCCTTACCATCAACACGGTATTGTCTGTGCCGACTGGAATACAGACAGTTGTAGTTGTTCGCTGCAGGGCAGGGCGTTGTATTCACGATGCCCTAATTTCCATTGTGGCTTGCGCTGGCGTGCGTATAGCCATGTAATGCATTTGTATCGACATGGGTGTGGGGATAAAGGAGCAGCCCTTGCAATGTGTGGCGCACGCCGCTGCCGGCGGAAGGGTCTATCTCCCAGAGGGAGACTACTTTGGCCTAATCTTCCGCTGAATGGGTCGATGGCCGATGGGCGAGACTGGTGACGGAACAGCAGCCATAGCACAGAATGGAGTGCGAAGAGGACGACCGCCGGGTAGATGGAGCAATGAGATCGGCTCATGTGCTGGGAGCGAAGATGGGATGGCAGCGGCAGTGAACCGTGAGTGATGGTGACAGTGTGGGGAGGGCCTCCATCCAGCAGTGGATAGACAATGGCCAACGATGACTTTACATAATGCAAACTTACGACGTCCGTTTGTTTTCCCCGGTGCCATTGCTGGTAATTAATTAATTCTCAGACATTTTCACGTGAAAGATTATCGGTTTTCCCAGAGCAGTTGCCGTTTCAGCACGTTTGATTAATTTACTGTACTCGTGGCTATTAATAGAGTTGCGCGTTTTTACCGAATTGCTCTTCCACGATTTACTTCCTTGTCGCGGCGCATGCCTCGGTGTGAATGAATGAATGAGCGCGGTGTCAGCACATCCAACGCGCCGCAGTTCCAGGCGTTGCAGTACGGCCGCCACGCGTGGCCAAGCTCGACTCGTCGCACCTCCGACTAGCACGACGCTTGGCTACGTAACGGCGCGAGAGGAGTCCAGCGTGCGTGCGAGCGTTGAGTGCCGCGGCGTCGACGACTGTGCGTCCTTACGAGCAATGCCACGGAGACGCGATGCGCGCGCGTCCACACCCAGACATCGCACCAGAGATCGCAACCGGGTACCCGATACCCGTACCCTACCCGATACCCGGCTACCCGTACCCGTTTGCGACCCTGGTGCAGCCGGGTACGGGTACGGGTAGGCCGTTAGTCACTGGTGAGTAGCCTTTTGTCACTCATTTCGGGTAGGGTACGGGTACGGGTAGGGAACGGGTACCCGTACCAGACTGGGTACGGGTACCCGTTTGTGACCCTGGTGCGGCCGGGTACGGGTAAGGAATCAAAACCCGTTTGCGACCTCTGCATCGCACCTGATTCCGTCCGTTCCATGTAATAAAGGTGCAGCCCTGCCAACTTCGCTTGCTCATGCCACTGCTGGTTCGAAGGCCTCTCATTAAATCCGCCGGAGGCACGAATGTTTCGGTGATGGCCGGACATCTTAATGCAGGATGCCAGAGCTTGGGCAATTGTTGGTAACGCCGGTTCCGGCTGCCTTCCTCCTCACTCGTTGCGGTTTTTCGTGTTCCCGTGCGAAAACTGTGGTCAGTACAAATCTACGCAATATCACTGTATTTATAAATAAATATTATTATTCAGGCTGTGAGTGTGTGAGCGTGTTCAGTGGTTAGCGCGCTGCACTATGAACCTGGCGACCCGAGTTTAATTCCGCTCATGGCCAACACCAGTGACGATTATCTCAAGCGGTCCTGGGCCTCCCCTAGGTCGACTCGACCTCAAATTAGTACCTGGTGCGGTGTGTAAAAGATTAGCACTGGGGGGACAAGGGCGGTCGGACGTGGTGCTGGCTACCAATCCCTTCGTATACTGTCTGTTAAAAGGCTATACAGGGGATCTTTGTCTTTGTATATATGTATTTTCGTGGAACTTCTTTTGCACCATACGTAGCCTACCGTGTTAATCGGAGGTGAGTGCGTGTCTAGAGTGGGTGCCAGTGAACATGGACTGCACGACGAATTCCATTCCATTGCCATTTCCACCCCCATTTACGTGGTAACAAAATGCCCTGTGAGCCGTTAGTAAAAGGAAAGCTTAGAAGTTGAAACTTCAAATGATTTATTTACAGCTATATTTGCTTCTACAAAGAGTCGGTTGCTTGGTAGAACAGCCCTGATGGCCGTTAAGCGCCCGTAACGTTGTTGCCGATGTCCTCGCGGGCACTTGTGGCACGTCGTGACCTCTGCCCCCCTGGTGCGTGTGGACGTGTGTGTCTGTGCGCGTGTGTGGACGTGTATGTGTGTGTGCGCGTGTGTGTATGTGTGTGTGTATGTGTGTGTGCGCGTGTATGTGTATGGGAAGCGGTAGTGTAGCGGTTAGCGCGCTGCGCTATGAACCCGGCAATCCGGGTCCGATTCCCGCTCACGGCCAACACCAGTGACGATTATCTGAACCGGTCCTGGGCCTCCCCTAGGTTAACTCAGCCTCAAATGAGTACCTGGTGCGGTGTGTCAACATCGCCACTGGGGAGACAAAGGTGGTCGGGCGTGGTGCTGACCACCCACCCCCTCGTGTACCAGTTAGGTGCTCGCTAACAGCACTTGCCCCTACAGTCCGTTAAGGCTATACGGGGCATCTTTGTCTTTTTGTGTGTGTGTGTATGGGCGCGTATGTGCGTCCGCGAGCGTGCGTGTGTCCGTGCGTATGTGTGTGTGTGAGACACGACACAGCGGCAGTGTCGTGGTTAGCGCATTGCCCTATGAACCCGGTGATCCGATTTTGATTCCCGCTCACGGCCAAGACGATTGTTAATTATCTGAACTTGTCCAAGGCCTCTCCTAGGTCGACTCAGCCTCAAATAATTATCTGCTGCGGTGTATAAAACAACCATCGCTACTGGGGAGACAAAGACGGCCGGGCGTGGTGCTGTCCCACCCACCCCCTCGTGTGCCCTGCCGGCCTTAGTCGGCGCTCCGGTAACAGCACTCGCCCCAACAGTCTGTGAAGGCTCTGGGGGAAACGGTTGTCTTTGTGTGTGTGTCTGTGTGACGAGACAGATCGGACTCATGTCGGTGACGATCTTCCCCATCCGGCTGCTGCTCGCCGCGTTCATGATGCTGCTTGCCTGGCCCTTCGCCTTCGTGGCCAGCTTGTGGCGCACCAAAGCCAACGCCGACCAGCCCTTCCCGCGGTGGCTCAAGTGAGTGCCTTGCCGAGTGCCGAGTGCCCGGCCCGACGCGGACCGGGACACGCCGGCCCGGCGTGTTTTTTTTCCACTGCGGAAGCCGTGCCGTGCCGTGCTGGTGGTGTCACGCGTGGTGAGCCACGTGGGGGCGCGTGTAGCGGGCGACGCGGTGGTGCCGTGTTTCTAAATATTGATGTCGGACTTCTTTTGCAGCGTACATAGACAAATCAGGCTAATAGTGGGGAGCGGTAGTGTAGCGGTTAGCGCGCTGCGCTACGAACCCGGCGTGCCGAGTTCGATTCCCGCTCATGGCCAACACCAGTGACGATTATCTGAACCGGTCCTGGGCCTCCACTAGGTCGACTCGGCCTCAAATTAATACCTTGTGCGGTGTGTAAACATCGCCACTGGGGAGACAAAGGCGGCCGGGCGTGGTCCTGGCAACCCACCCCCTCGTGTGCCGTTTCAGCCTTCATAGGTGCTCGCTAACAGCAATTGCCCCAACAGTCTGTTAAGGGATATACAGGGGATCTTGTCTTGTCTTTGTTAAACTTCTTTTGCACCGTACGTAGCCAACCATGCTAATAGCGGCACGCGGTGAGCGAGTGGAGACGCTGGTGGTGCCGTCTTTGTGATTCCAGCACTGCGCGTTTTGGTTTTGTCTCGGCCCGGCAAAATAGCCGGCGGCGACACCACGTGTACCGCGAGGGCACCTGCGCTAGCGCGGCTCACGTGCGCCAGTGGAAAAGGGCTTCTTACATGTCGCCCGGGTGGCGTAGGGGGCCAATGCGATCTGAGAGATCCTTTATAGCAAAAAACAAACAAACCACCATCTTCTTGGTTCTTTCGGTAAAGGCACGTAGAAGGGAGATAATAAAATAATAAAAATAAAACATATTAAGAATATTCTTGGTTCTTTCGGTAAAGTCACGTAGAAGGGAAATAATAAAATAATACAAATATAAAATTCAATTCTCTTGCTGTGGATTTCACACCTGATGATGATTGCTTGTGTTGCAGTCGAAACGTCGTGAGAATTTTATTGTTTTATATTTTTATTATTTTATTGTTTCCCTTATACGCGAATTTACCTAAAAAAACAAGAATATGAATCCCTGCAGTCACGAAAGCTTTAAATCGAAACAAACCACCGACTTAGAGTAGAACGGGTGTCGGGGGAAGTGCACGACTGTTGAGAAACACGGGAGAGAGGTGGGCGCCCCGCGCGGCATGGAGCAACCGGGTGCCCAACGACAACGACAAACTGCTTCTTTCGTGTGGCTGATGTAAGATACGGAGCAAGGACTGCAATTTCATGTTCAGGTGGCGAAGCCAGATAACCGGCCTCAGGAGGAACAGAGTGTATCATCGCCGTGGTGTCTCCTTCGTATCTGTGGATCGGGGCATTGCGTCATTATACGTTGTCGGTCTGTTCCGGATCACCGCAGTCGCACGCTGATGGAGAGTTTTTTTACTTTCCATTTGTGCCATTAGGTATCCGCGTCTGCCATGGTTTGTGCAGATGCGGTTCAGGGTGGACCACGAGCTTCGTAGAAGATTAAACCCAGGCGGTTTGTGAGTTCTTTTGAACTCCATTCATTTCTCCAGGTTTCATGGAGTTTGAATTCGCTTCATTTTCCAACAACAACGATCCCCCGGGACAGCTGCAGTGGCCCTGGGGGCACCAGCGAGTCCCCCAGGGCATTCTCTGGGTGATGGAGCCCTTCAATAAGTCCCAGGGCAGCCACAGGGAGGACTTTGGGGCCTTTTTACCAATGAGTCCCTGGGGGAAGTATGGGGCAGCAGTCACGTGAATGAACAGTTTTACAGGGGCAGGCCTCTTCTGTGTTTTTTTAAATCCTTTATATTAAGTTCACTTGCTTGCTTGCTTACGACCGTGCAAATCTTTCGGTCGTTTTTTAACACACTTCCCGTGATCCAATCGAGCTGACATTTTCCACACAGACTCGTTGTTCGTGAAACAATTTTTCCAAAATTTTACACTTTAGGGAATTTTTTTAAATATTTAATTACCAATTGCTTAATGCTGGCAGACAATCATCTGACCCATAGGTGGCAGCCATCTCAAGCCAGAGGACGAGAGGACTCTAGCCGCCACGCATGTAAAGGATTTAGAGTGAAAAACGTTGTTTTTACGGGTGAATTTTTTATAAAGTGGACCTCAGGAGTAGTTCTACGACGTCAACTTCCAAGGAATTTTCGTAACGCACGGCGGCAATGTCTTCCGACCATAGCCGCAGGAAGTTTGGACTGGACCCATTTTTTTTTTCCTGTTTGCTGAAACGAAGCCGGAAGCACGGACGCAATGTAACCCGAGATAATAAACAAATATATCTGAAATAAGAAATGTCAAAGTGAACGCAGCGATTTGTACGGCGTGTGCACCTGTTCCCTTGCCCGCACCATTCTTAGAGCCACGCATGTTTGCCTGGTACCCGGTTTGCTTTGTTGAGTGAAATATTTATTTAACAAAAATATGGATACATCCCACGGCGAAAAATTGTGTGAAGCCTTTACACGTCATCAAAGTGGCGGATGAGTTTTAAGCAGGAGATGAGCCTTAACCTGAAGGATTACTTGTAAATTACAGGGAGCTGTAAGTGGGATGCTGTCACTAATGTTGAAACGACTGCACGCGATCCAAGCGGTGGCCGTTGACGGGAAAACAATCCCGTTTTGTGAATCGATGAAGTTGTTCCGGGAGAAATGCACTCCCGTGGAAGTCCAGGCCTGGTGCCTAACATCGTAGGGTTGTTGGTGAAATGGCCAGGGTTTGGAGAGGCCTTCATCCACCAGTGGATTGATTATGGCTAATAATGATAATGGTGGTGGTCATGACATTTTCGCAAGGACCTTAAAACGGATGTAACGACAGCCACAGCGGTGATGTCGCTTTTGCTGGAGAGGTACAAAGCTGTCGTTCATCCATTGACATCCTCTCGGAAGGCCACGGCCTATCACTCTCCTCATCAAAGCCATCCCATCGATTAGGGACGCGGTTATGTTCCAGATAAGATCTGGCGGTCGCCTCTTTCATACATGTATTATTTAAGGCCGCAGTGTTATTGACGAATTCGTTTTTTGTTATTTATGCGTTGTGCACCGCTGCCGATGCACTATCACCAATTAATTTGTTTCCTGACCGGGCACTGAACCACCGACTACAGTATTATATTCTAGCGTGTGGCAATATGCTCAGGAGCTAAATCAAAATGTCGAGGTTTGCTAGCCACCCACGGTGAGAGGGCTTCAGCAGCAGAGAGAAAGTTGTCGTAGTAGTAGGTTTTTACCCTTTCAACTGGTACAAAACTGACACCTTTATACAAGGGATCATGTTTGCAATAACCACAACACAAGCAGTCAAAATGCAAACAAAAGAAACAACTCTGATAATGATAATGATATGCACTGTCCTTGAAGTTGATTGGTCCACACCCGAGACAGCTTTTCTTAGAGCCTAGTCTCCATTGGTATTGGACCAGATGACGCCAAAAGGCGTACAACTCAAAAACAGCGCACTATCAGAGTATTGAGAGCTCGGGGTAAGCATTTACACTGAGATCTCCTTTACCAGTGGCAAAATATAGTAGTAGGTTTTTACCCTTTCAACTGGTACAAACACTGACACCTTTATACAAAGCATCATGTTTGCAATAACCACAACACAAGCAGTCAAAATGCAAACATATCATTATCAGAAGTTGATTGGTCCACACCCGAGACAGCTTTTCTTAGAGGAGCCTAGAGAGAGTTGTTGTCGTTTTGCTGTTCCTCCTCCTACTCCGTTGAAGGAGAGCAGACCACTGTGCGTGTTACTCTGTGGCAGAGGTCGCAACCGGGTACCCGATACCCGTACCCTACCCGATACCCGGCTACCCGTACCCGGCCGGGTACGGGTACCCGTTTGTGACCCTGGTGCGGCCGTGTACGGGTAGACCGTGAGTCACTGGTGAGTAACCGTTTGTCACTCATTTCCCAACGTCTTGTCTCTTCTCACAATTCAAGTTCCTAGAATCAACCCACCCCTGCCTGCAACATGGCTTCATCCCAGAGGTCGCAATCAGGTACCCGATATCCGTACCCTACCCGTACCCGGCCGGGTACGGGTACGGTCGAGTACGGGTACCCGTTTGCGACCCTGGTGCGGCCGGGTACGGGTACGGGTAAGGAATCAAAACCCGTTTGCGACCTCTGCTCTGTGGTCCATACTTTGGGTCGCATGGCCGCAGTCGCATTACTGTGGCATGTCTCTTTAATTTCCCATTCATGAAGGAGGTGTGCGCATCAGCCTGTTAATGTTCTACGCTCGTGCTCGATTGTGCATTCAATAGTCGCCCGGTAAAATTCAATATTTTATCGACCCGATGATGAGATGTGGGTGACCCAGGTTGCTAACCCGATCGCTTGCGTTTTCACCTGCTTAAACAAATTTAACTCCACTTAACTTCAAATGCCACGCGCTTTCAAGTGAACACGGTGGCGTGCTACGGAGGTGAGCGGATACAGCTCTGTGCCTGCGGCGTAATGAATGAGTTGTTGAGGCAGTGTCTGATTTCAAGAGATAGGGCATGCCACAGATAATACAATGAATTCATATTTTAATTCTTATATCTCAGCGGCTCGCCATAACCTCGTAACTCTAGTGTTATGCAAAGCAGGCTACGAGTTGTTTGAGTTGAGCTGGGTGACGGGGACTATGCACTGTGTAACAAAAAAAAATATTGTTCCTGGGTAATTAGTGTTATTTTCTCATTGATTATGCCTCAAAAGTACAGAAAATGTCTATTATTCCCCATAAACTTTGCTTTTGTGACCCATTTTCAATGATAACACGTGGTGTGCATTTGTGTCATTCCTTCACGTAAAGTCCTGGTCACAAAAGCAAAGTTTGTGGGGAATAATAGCCATTTTCTATACTTTTGAGGCATGAGCAATTCGAAAATAACACTTACTAACCAGGAACAAAAATTCGTGTTCCATAGTGAGCTATTGAA